GAATATGCTGGCGTGAGGAGGCTGTGATGGTTGCAGGAGCGAGCCGTAAACTGGCCGTGGTGGCCCCTGCCAGTCTGCCGTGCCACGTAACCAGAGCCAGCGGATAAAGAGGCTCCAGGCAGCGTGTTGAAGGCCACTTGGGTGAAACTTTCTGCAGGTCTGGGACCTTAATCAGCACTTAGACACTATGTAAACACCCTGGACAGATAAGCAAATAAATCTGACACCAGCCGGGCAAACTGTTGTCAAAGGAAAACAAGTGCCGGGAGCGAGCAGCACTGGAGAGAGCGGCTGCAGTCGCTGGCGTGGTATGTGTGCCCCTGTGATACAGGCTGGCCCTCTTGTGCTAAGTGCGTGCTACTGGCTAGAGCTGTCCTGCAACCCAGATACGCTTCGGGACTCTTCAAAGGGATAAAGATGTATTTTTAACTTCAGGCAGCTGCCTTTTTTCGTGTGGCGCTTTTTATTGTTGTTGCTGTGGGAGTGGCAGGTCATTTTTAAAGCGCTCTGTTTCTCAGCCATCTCGTCGGAGGTGCCTAGAGGTCTCAAATCAGGTTCCCAAAAATTTCAGCGCTAGAAATTGGTAGCCGCTTTTGAAGATGTTGGCGAGACCGTGCAGCTCGCTGCAGACATTAGCTGATGGCCATTTGAATACGCTTTTACCTCAGCCAAATCCTAGCCCCATTGAAGCCAATGGGAATTTTCCTTGAAAAAGGCCATAAAGGAATCATTTTCTTGGCATTCAGAGAGGTGTTTCATGGACTCCACAGCAGCGTTCAGGAGAACTTCAGCTATCTGCTTTGATTCCTGCCACAGTTGTCCCGCCCAGCACAAAGTGCTCTACCTTTTGATCCAGAATAGCACAGGAGATGTTTTCCACATGCCATAGGAAAATGGAAGAACTATAAAACATAATTGTTTTGGAGTTTGGCACCCCTCCGCTCACAGATATATTTAGCGTGAATTGAAATTGGTCAGCAAAAGGCTGTTTGCCAGGATGACGAATGGATTAGAGTTGTATATCTAAGGCAATTGCATACCTGCCCATCCCATGCCGGTGGGGTTAGTGGGTGGCATAATTGGTTCATGGGTAGAGTCATAAGCAAGCAAGCACAACTTGCTTCTCTTGGGCAATGTTAAAGAGGTTTTTGGCCATAAAAGGCATTATTTGGCTCTCGGCATGCTCTCCCGACTTTGAGGCTTGTTCTCTCTGCTCTTGCCATTGCTGCCTGGTCCCTGCTTACTCTCTGAAGTGGGACCTGTCAAACCTGACACTCGGCCTCCTCCCTCACACACAGCCTGGACATTACAGAAATGCCAGCACTTTCCACATCAGGCCAACTTCTTCTGTCCCATCTCCCTTCCCTGCTTGCTGGAGCATCCTGCTTACTGGCTTGGATGAAAGCGAACAAGAGGAGAGAGCAAACTGGCAGCCCTTGGCTCCTGCCCACAGAGCAGCTGTAATTATACCATGTCCCGAGTGCTCTCTCCTAAGGAGTAGCGTAGGGTTTAGAAGAGGAAAAACCTCTCCTGGGACTCCGGAGTGAGCCCCAGGTGGAGCAGTCTTGCTTAGCAGCAAGGTGAGGGCTCAGCTCGCCATGACTAGCTCTGCATCAATGAGGAGAACTCGCAGTCGATAGCAGCAAGCTCTTTCTGGCGTCCGCTCCAGGTTAGCTCTTGTGATGGTGCCCAAGGAGCCAAGACCAATCCCTGGGTGTGTTCGTACATATGGGCTTGCACGCTCAGCTCCCAACGGTGGTTTTCTTTGGGCTGATCTTTGTTAGCATTGGAAAGCAAGAAAAATGAGCAAAAATATTATCAGAAGCAGGTTTTGTGAATGAATCAGCTGACAAGAGGCTTACCAGCTCGCCTTGATTTACTAGAGCAATGCTTATTTGGGCAAATGTCTCCATATTTTAGTTGGAGGCAGGAAAGAACAAGAATTGATCAGGAAATGCCCTGCTTTCAGTATGCTGCTTTTCCGTCAGCTTGTACTATTGGTTTTCTGAATGAAGCAGGGGACAGTCTGTGAGAAACTGGGCCAAGCAGCATCACTGCAGCATGTCTCAAGTGCTGCCCTGCCATCGTAAGGGGCAGGCATGCAGTGCTCATTTTCTTCTTTTGTTGAGGCGGGACCACCAAGAAAAGGAGGACAAAGGAGATCGAGAGGCTAAAACTCTCTGAAGTGGCTTGCCAGGAATTGGAGTTGGGCAGGCCTTGCCCGTCTTTTACGCAGTAATTTTTTATTTGATCCTGCGTGAAGGGCAATCTCATGGCCTTCTCTCTCCTTGCTATGTGTTTCTAATTAACGAGGAGACTGATGTATAAACAGAAGGTTCCTGCTCAAAATATTCCTTGCCTAGCTTTAGGGTGATGGCAATATGGTAATCGCCAGGCAGCAGCCCAGTTCACCCATCTGGCTGTCAAGCCTGCCCATCCTAATTCTTGTCTGGAACCAGTATTTGAGGAAAGTCCTGGAGTTGGCCACATTAATTTTACCCTGTGTTTGCTTTTCAGTTGCTACCTAAGCAGCTAAAAATCCACAAACCAAACACATGTAGCATTGCTGGGAAGTGGGAAGATCCCAGTTTTGAGAGATCTGGTGCCAAAAACGTGAGGAAATGCAAAAGAAGACTGGACGAGTCCGTGGAGGATGAGTCCGTTGGTGGCCTTTAAGCCCTGGTCAGATGGAGTCTCCAGCCGTGAAAGTGCTTTTACGACTGGTCTGTGGGAGGAATGGGAATGATCCCCTGATGCGTATCCCTAAGCACCTGGTCCTGGTTGCAGCAGCGGACAGGACGCTGGGCTGGGGCGGCACTTTGGTCTGGCCCGCTTAGATCAGTCTGTGATCCGTTTGCAGGCGGCCACACATTCACTGAGTGATTTTAGGCAAGGTTCTTCTTGTGTTTTCCCCATGCGTGAGCCTGGGGTCGTACCACCTGAAAAGAGCGTGGAAAGCTGTGGCAGAAATAAAATGCTAGCTGTTAGGATTTTCATTCTGTGTCATGACAGTACAATTTTGCCCTGACAGAACATCACGATGCAGCTTCTAACAGAAAGGAAATGTTAAATCTTTAAGTGTTCTGCATGCTTAGTCTTCCAAGAAGCAAGACAGGCCCATAAAGCAAGCCTTGTTATATGAGCTGAAGCATTGCTTGCACCCTATCATGCACAGTCTAATGTGATTTCTTTATTTTTGTACAAGGGTCTAAGGTCCGGAGTGCTGAACAGCTGAAATCAGAAGCTGCCAGAGCAAATCTTGGTTGTGTTGCTGATGTTGGGAAGCTGGAATGACAGAGTTTCTCCTTTGTGTGTTGAAAAAGACTTTGTTTTTCACCATTGTAGGACCAGAATGGTCTGGTCTGTTGTTCATGTGGTACCTGTCATGCTGCTGAAGAAGTCCTGTATACAGAGGTGTACTTTGCAGGGCCTGGGTTATTGTAGTGAGAGGTGATGTGTGCATACAAGTGCAGAATCATAATTTGGGTTGCAGAGGACCTCTGGAGGTCGTTGTCCAACCGCCTGTTCAAAGCAGGCCCAGCTTCAATGTTAGCTCCAACATCAGTGTCTGATGTGGTTGCATAGCTTTCTCTGCAAATCGGCCAGATCAGAGCAGGAGCACTGTACTGCCAGGCACCAAGTAGGCTCAGCCTTGTCACCTGCTGGGCTTCTGGCGCAAGCGTGAGGATTTGCGATCTCTTCTCGCTGTCACTGCAAATTCCAAAGGGACTAGTGTTTGCAGCAGTGACCACCATGTCCTAATTTGCCAAGCATTTCTTACAGAAATAGCAGCCAGTAAACTGAGAAAATGCACAAAGCAGAAGGTACAGGAGGTTGAAGAAGCTCGGTGTTTATCCTGAGTTTTTGGCTAACTGCTTTTGAAACAATCGAATTACCTGGGAGTCTTGTGGCTTGCAGCAGTGTCAGGACCCCAGGACACATGGAGTTGTCTTACAGTCAAAAGAAGTAGCCAAATGCAAAGGTAGGTAGATTGTGTGGTAGAAGCTAAATGTACCGTATGACAAATGATGTGACAGAAGATATGGCAAGGAAGATCACTGAAATGGCAGGATCTTTGAGGGAGATTGAGGTGACAATAAAACAGAGCCTGGTATTTCTGAAAGCGATTCTGAGAATTTATTTTAGCACATTAATATTGAGTAAGTATTCCTGGAGATACTCTGAGGGATGATAGATGGATTCAAGGTATTGGTACTAATCACTGTGGTTTCAAGTTTTGGAGCTGAAATACACTTGGCGTCACTAATCCAACTGGACTTCTGATGGGAAAATTACATTCTTCGGGAAGTAATTTAGAAGGTCAAAGAAAAACCAGAAAGAACTTCTCCAGCAGCGGTTTCCCCTGCTCTCTAAACTGTCTTTTAGTGTAATAACTCCAGCATGAAAGGATCTATTCTCACCTTCCAGATGAAAGGGCTAATGCAATTTAAGAATTTTGCATGCAAAGATTTTATGGCTTTTTTTCCAGATGAAAGGGCTAATGCAATTTAAGAATTTTGCATGCAAAGATTTTATGGCTTGGTAACCAGCCATGCTTGAAAGCAATCCAGGATGGGATAAACACGTGAGAGAGTGCTTGGCTGAGTATGATCCTTTCTTTCTCTCCCCTCTCTCTTGCAGATGGTGGTGATGACCGGTCAGAAGCAAACCTTGCCGAGAACCACGTGGATGGCACCACGGGGATCCTGAGCGGAGCAGGAGGGAGGAAGCCCATGAAAACAGGCATGAAGGAGCTGGCGGTTATGAGGGAGAAAGTGAACGAGCAGCAGCGGCAAATGGGCAAAGTCAGCAAGCCCCATCACAACCACGAAGATTCAAAGAAGTCGCGGATGTCGACTGGCAGGGTCAGTGGGCACAGCACGTGCAAGAGGGAGACAAGGGCAGAGGGAGTTAATGGAGGCAGCTGCGGCTTGCCTGGGAGATGCTGAATGCGAAAGCCTTAGTGACATTTGCAACAAACTGTCTTAGAAAAAAGGGGGGAAAAGAAAAGAAAAGCAAAGCAAACATTTGTTTTGGCCCGAAGCTGGGGCTGGACACACCATCTGATGAACTTTAATCTCCTAGCAAGGAGGCATTATTTTCATTGCAGCTGCACCTCACGACAAAAGAGCAGGAGCAGGGGGGTCCTGCTGGCTCAATACCTACCTCTGCAGCAGGAGCGGGCATGCCCTCTGCCCACAGCCTGGCTTTCCCACACCTTTTTCCCTAAGTGACTGCCAGGGTCGACCAAAGGGGATTTATGAGGGGCCTCTGCCTGTTGCAGGATGGCCCCATTGCAGGTTCAAGGGGAGCCAGAGCCCTCTGGGAAGGGCTGAGATTTAGCATGCAGCACGGAGAGTGTCCAGTGTCCTCCTTGTCCCCTTCCCCGTCCCCATCTCTGTTCCCTCTGGTCTGCAGCCATGGTTTCCCTCTAGCGGGCATCTTGATCAAGGCAACTGGATGGCACAGGCATGAAAAGCCGTGCCAAAATGCCATAATACATGTCTCTATAAATGAGAGGGGCAGTCTGTGGTGGAGAGGGAGAGCAGGGGGACAGAGAGGAGCTTTAAGGGAGAGCCCTCACCTCGTCCAAGGGAAACAGGCAGAGCAGAGGTTCTCTGCCCTGTCCTCACAGCACACACTCACTGTGTCATCCCAGATGGCCCTAGCTTCTGCAGCGCTTAGGTCAAATCCAGCCTAACTGGCTGGTTTGTGTGTGGGGAGACCTGGCTCCACGGCACGGTGCAGGCACCTCCAGCTTGGAGAGTCCCTGTGCTGCTGCTGCTGCTCCCCTGGAAGAAAGGCCACTGGTGCAAAAGCACAGAGGGGTGGGCTCGTGTCAGCTAACGTTAGGCTGAATTCAGCCGGGCTACGTCGACGGGGAGCCCTGGCTTGAGGCTGCCGTGAGAGGTGGAGGAGCAAGAGCAATGCCTCGCTTTCCTGGGTGCTGCCAGTCCGCGGGGCTTCCCCTCCGCTCCCATGAGGTCTCAGGCATTTCAAGGTGCGCTTCTGGGCCAAAGCCACATCGTGAGTCTGGGAGGAGAGCTGTGTCCTTTGGGGCCCTTCTGGTCAGTCCAAATTAGGGGGGAGTGAACCCTGCTTCACATAACCCTGCATCACCCTATCGCTTAGCCAGTGGGAGCCATTGGGGCATCTCTCAGGCTTCCGCTCCTCAGTGTCTGCGATCTGGTGTTGTGTTGTCTCTTGGCAGTGTGAAGATTTGAGTGCATGGCACACCCTCCTGCTGTGCATTGGGGGTGCAGATGGCAGTGATCTGGAGGTGCAGGAGGCTTAGGGTGGGCAAAACCCCTCACAGCTGGCCTGTTGTCCCTTCCCTCTTCGTATTTCTCAGGAAAAAGCAAAGTTGCCACAGCTCAGTGCTTGGGAATGCAGGAGAATAGCGGGCAAATTGGAAGCAAAATTGGACAAAAGAGGAAGGCAGCTGATAAGCAGAGGCAACACTGCCCTCTGCTCCACGAAACTTTGCTGGCACTGTACCTTGTCATGGCCCCTTCGTGGCCAGGCTGTTCACCTTGTTTGCACTGTGCGTGTGAGATATGTTTGCGGGTCCGAGATACTTGCGTGCATAACAGATGGGATCTGTGTGTGTACCAGTGCGTGGGGTATGTGAATGGTGTGAACGTGTGGAACACGTGTGTACGTGCACCGAGAGCAGTGCGTGTGGAGAAAGGGTGTCCACGTGCCAGTATGCTCAGCAGGGTGCTTGTGCACAGAAACGTGCACATCTCCGTGCATACATCTGTGCGTCCGTCTGCATGTGTGGACTTTGGGTGCCGGGGCAGGCACAGCAGTGGGATTCTCATCTTACCAGCGCTGGCATAACTGCAGGTGCCAGCAGCAGGGCTCATGGCAAACCTGTGTCCTGAGCACTGGTCTCAGTCTCCCCCACAGGGAGGTGCGCATGATGTCCCGTGTTCATCTTTACTGGCATTTTCATTTTCTGAGGTGTTGACGCTGTCTGTTTGCCCATTGCCCTGATTTTTTTCTTGTTGTTGTTTTCTGTTTTCTTGCTTTTTTTCAGACCCCTTGTCAGCAGGAGTTGGATCAGGTCTTGGAGCGCATCTCCACTATGAGGCTGCCAGATGAGCGAGGTCCCCTGGAACACCTCTACTCCCTGCACATCCCCAACTGTGATAAGCACGGCTTGTACAATCTCAAACAGGCAAGTGGGGAGAGCCCCTGGGCCAGCTGCGTTCCCACCAGCAGCCCTGGGCTCAGCACACATCCCCTTGCACGGAGCCTCGAGACACGTGCAAAGTTCAGGGCTGGGCTAATGTTGCACACCCTGCATGAGGCATGAGCTAAACAGCAAATCTTACATGTGGCACAGGCACTGATGCCTGAATGCATCTGGAGCCATGAGCTTGCAAGCAGGGATGCATGCAGGCAGCCCACTCACACAAACACAGTGGTGCATTAGCCATGCACAGTGGCACGCTAGGTTTTGTGCGTGCATGGAGAGCTCCAGGGCAAGCACGTGCTTGCTCACAGCAGCAGGAGACCTTCACATCTGTGCACACAGCTTCAGGTGGTGTGCGCAGCCCACTTGGCAGAGTGGCAGCCTCCCTAGGAGCTGAATGGGGAGGGGGCTATGGCTCAGCAATGTTCAGAAGCCCTCCCCTGGGGCTCCCCAGGTCCCAGCTGGCAGATGAAGATGGGCTGAGGCAGCTCTGCGCTGTAAGGTGCAGTGGTGCCACGAATTCCCCTGAAGATGACGAACCCATTTAGTTCGCAGCTCACTCTTCCCTTAGAGAGCTGCTTACCCGTCCAGGTCCATTTTCTTGAGCTTTGAGCCAAGTATTGTCCTAGCTGGGCCCTGCCACAGTGGAAAAGCAGAGAGGGGCTGAATGCTGGCCAGTCCTGCAGACAAAGCAGAAAGAGCTTCTCATGGGGTCAGGACGGTTTCTAGCACACTTTATTCATTTTCCTCCACAAATTGAGGCCAGTCCCAAGGGTTTTGGGGGGGATTCCTTGCACATGAGGTGGGGTTGGGATGCAGCACCCTTCTGAAGATGATTATGGGCCCCCACACCACTCAAATGACTCTCTACTTAATGTGTGTCTGAATTCTAACTTCTTGGCTTCATTCATGTGAAAACAGCAGGTGTCAGTGACTGAGACATAGGGAAAAAATGTCTCGTGTCTGCTTTAATGTTTAGCATTTAGCATCTTTCACAAGCCGCTCATGTAGAGCCAGATAAGGGCCAGGGAGGGATTTTGTCTGCCAGGCTATTGCGCAGTCTTCCCCCGCGGGGCCAAGGGATGTCAGAGCAACCCCTGACTCTTACAAAACCATGGTGCTTTGCAAGCCGTCTGCTCAGACACTGCTGCATCTCTCGCAGCGCAGGGCGCAAGGACTTGACTGTGGGGAGGTGCAAAACTGACTGTGCCACCTCTCTCGTCTAAGGGTCTGTTTCAGCTGCTAGCCCTGTGGCAGCGGTGGCTGCAGGCGTTGGGTACACCGGTTTGCCAAGGCAGTGGCACGCACCTGTGTGATGGTTGTGAGTGCCTGGGTTAGTCTGGGCTGCCTGGGAACTGGGGAGCCCTGCTGGTTTCTCCTCTGTGAATGGATGCTGTTCGTGGAGGCAGGCTGCTAGGCACAGGTTTAGCTCTAGAGGTGCTTGTTCTGAAGCTGTTTTGGAAGTTTTCCAGCCCTCATTCAGGGCTTATTCCTGGGTGCTCCTGGCACCCAGGTCCAGTGTATCAGCTGTGCCTCGAGGCGCTGGAGAGCGGCTGCTTGGCAACCTGAGTCCTGGCCTGTCTGTCAGTACAGGCTGTATGTCACACTCGAGGCTGTGCTGGTCCCTTCTGCAGAGGATGTCACAGCAGTCCTGGGGAGACACCTCCTCCAGATGTGTGCTTCATGGCCTCTTCTCCTTCACATGCTGCACCCAGCATGTCCTGAGCCGTCAGCTTTCCTGTGCCAAAATCTTCATCTCCCCTGCCGAAGCTGTAACCCTTCCAGTCAGTCATCGTGAATCCAGTTTAGCCATGGGTCAGCACTGTTATTTAGAAGGTGAAGCTTTCTGAAGAGCACCCTGTGTGTCCCAAAGGCCCCTTGCCAGCCATCTTCGCAGCTTCCGGGCCTGACCCAAGGAGGATGTCCCTACCTTGGACCAGGGCATCAGCCTCTCCAGGGAGGCTGAAAAGGACATGAGAAATACTGGAAGGGCTGGGAATCAGACTGGCCGGAGGCTGATCAAGGCTCTGATGGCACAGGCCATCAGAAGGACATTGGCCAGGATTGTGGATAGGTTGAGGGGAAAAGAACTATGTAAAAGATGAGGGAAGATGTAAAGGAGAGAAAGTGGGTGTCACCCAGTACTGTCACCCACTGAGCAAAATTACATTGGCCAGATTTCTCCACCTAAGCGCTTAAGATAGCAAGTCACCCTGACTGTAGTCACCAGGGAGTCACCCCTGGGTGCAGCTTTTCCTGCCTAGGGTCTGACTCAGGCTCTGGAGCTGCCTGTCTGCCTGACCCAGAGCACAGGGCAGTTGCATTTCTCACCTTTGTTACCTGGGCAGAAGCTGGGCCTCCACCTACCCCCAGTGTTTGTGCAGTGTAACACACATTTGGGTGGTTTCACTGCAAATTAAATCATTGCATAATGATGGTTTCATAATGAGGAGGGTTGGGACTATTACTGCATAATTGTCCATTCATTTCAGTCAACTCTTGTCCTGGGTTAAATGTCTGCTGCTTTGCAAATGAATGCCTTGGCTCCCGACCCACTGTTCATGAGTTGGTGGGAGACCAGAGTGAACACTGTATCACCACTGTGCTCCCACCAACCAGCCCCTTGTGGCTGGCCCGGGGCCCTTGCGGCCGAGGCATTAGAGATGGGAGAGGTGAACCTCCTGCTCTAGTTGGAAAGGGGAGCATGCTCAGGTTTTCCTGGCATGGGGCACAGGGTCTTAATCGAGGAGCCCAGGAGAGCAGCTTGCTCCTGTGCCCTTCCTGCCTCCTGTCTTCTCCAGTTCATCCCAGTGCCTGGGCACCTCTTCCCTGGGATGTGTTTCTTTTTTTCCCAGCAAAACTTTGCAGCTAGACAAAACGGGCTCCTCTCTCTTTGCCATGGAAAGCTCCTCTCTCTGTTGCTTTTCTCTTAATTCTCCTCCCGAAGCACAATGACCAAAAATGCTCTAGTAACTTCTCTTCCCAGCCTGGGGAAAGCTGGGAGTTGGGAAGCATATGACATCCTTGCCTCTAGAGCAGCGCATCCAAGGTGCTGAGGGCAGAGCACAGGGGAGCCCGTGCCGGAGCCAAATGCTGCCCCTGCATTTGGGGACTGCATTTGGACTACTCACCCCCGTGAGTAGTCACGGGGTCTCACAAAGTACCAGGTACCACAAAAGAGCCTGCGTCCAGGAGAAAGCTCGCAGGCAGCCAAACACCAGCTCGTCCAGGGCTGCCCTGTAGCCGTGGGTGAATGGTACCTGGATGCAAGCACCCCCTCCAGCCTTGTATAACTGATCCCATGGAAAGGACCCAAGAAATCCTGTAGTTTTCACGGCTGGGCCTTTTCTTTTTTCAGAGCTACTCCCACCCCTTGGTCAGGAGCATAAAAAACAAAAAATGCACATGCTACTCTGTGATAGTCTTCCTCCCTCCCTCCCAGCCCTGTCCCACCTGGACACTTACCCCCTGCCTCACCCTGCAGTGCTCAAGTGCACCTGGAAGGGCTGCGCGATTGCACGTTGGTCATAGCTGCAGTGAGGGAGAAGGGACCACAAAATTCTTGCTCCTTCCTCCCCGCCTTGCCCCGGCCAAGGCCAAACGCAACGCGATACAGCCCTGCATATCCCTGTCTGCCTCCAGAGAGCTGCAACACAGGAGCCGCATGGGCCAATGGGCTTTTTTGAAAGATCAGATTTATCAATGTGTTTGCCTCATTGCGGCTTTAAGTCTGGCCACAGTTTCGTCTTCCACAAAACCCCCGCGGCTCAGAGAGCCCTGCCTGGGCTGTGGCCGGTTTGGGGCTCAGCGCTGCCTGGTGGGCGCAGGCAGGTCTCAGTTTCCCCGTCAGCTTGGGAACTCCCTGATATAGGTCCCTGAGGCTTCTCCATCTGTGTTTGCGCAGCACTTCGCCGAAGGCCTCCGGGGAAGCTGGGAGCCTTTCATCCCCCAGGCTGGCGCCCTCTCTGCTTGTGGCTCCCCCCAAGCCCAGCTGCATCTGGCCTGGCAAGCTAAGGCCACCTTGAAACCCACTTTCCCTCCGTCTGGGTTTCCCGAGCCAAGTGTCAGCTTGTTTTCATTTGCTGCCCTGAGATCAGGCACCAACCAAAACATTCCCAGTTGCTCCCACCTCCTGTGGGCCGGGCCAGTGCTGGGGTGGAGGGTGCCTGGACGCAGTCTCATGCTGGGGAGTTTTTTCTTCGCCTCTTTTTCTACGTTTTATCCCCCTGAACAAGCCTGCATTTTGACCTTGGTCCAGCTGCAGGAAATGGCTTGGATTCAGCTTTAGCAAGCAAGCGCGCGCAGAGCCCGGTGTGCTGGAGTAACCTCTGCCGTGGGGGCTGGCTCCTGCTGTGCCCCGTTCAGGGCTGTAGCTCCTGGGGACGGAGGTGTGAGCACACGGAGCAAAGTGCCCGCAGCTCTGCCAGGGTGAGAGGTGGACGACAGCCTTTAGATCGAGAAACTCCTCTCGAACCAGGCCAGGCTTTGGGGAGGACTTCAGGGTCCAGGTCCAGACACGCCATGGTCCCTAGCTCTCTGCTGCGACGGACTGAGACCCTGTTTCAGATGTGTTTGGGTCTGTTGAGCCCTGCTGCCGTGTTTGTTTAGCCCAATTTGAAGATGAAATGAGGCTTACACAAGCCCTGTGTCAGTGTGTGTGTCTCATCCGCCTTCCCCCAGGGATTTTTGACTCCATGGATTGCTTTCGACCAGGGTTGAAAGAGGGCAATGAGTCTCAGAGATGATCATTAACATGGTTTGTTAGAATCAGCTGCTTGGTCCCAGCACGGCACTGAGGGAAGAGGTCCAGCCCTCAGCTTGGACCTGGCGCAGTGATGCTGGCAGAGCACGGACCTGGCACAGCTGAGTCTGGCACCCCTCAGTCTTGCCCAAATCTAAACTTGTGACCTGTTGAATCCCCAAAGGAAGCCCAGCCCTGCTTGGGCTTTCAGAGCGGGGTTTGGGGGGCGGGGGCGTCGTTTTCTTCTCTCGTTTCTCCGACCGCCGGCTCACTTGTGCCCTATCCCTCGGTGCAGTGCAAGATGTCGGTGAACGGGCAGCGCGGCGAGTGCTGGTGCGTGGACCCCATCCACGGGAAGGTGATCCAAGGCGCCCCCACCATCCGCGGGGACCCCGAGTGCCACCTCTTCTACACAGCCCACGAGCAGGAGGACCGGGGAGCACACGCCCTGCGGAGCCAGTAGCCGGACGTGATCCTGCTGGTGGGAGGCAGCTCGCCGTGGCCCCCGTGCCGGATTTTACATGGGTTTCAGCAAGGCTCTTTAGGCTCTGCACGAGACTGGGGTTGGGTCCCGTGTGCTGCCCTCCTTCCCCTGCTGCCGGGCTCCCGGGGAGGGACGGGGCGACGGGAGGGGAAGGGCGGCGGGGGGATTGCCGGGAGAAGGGACTGCTTTCCTATAGTCTTTCACCCAACGTAAGGCAGAGCACCGGTCTTTTTTCGCCCCCTTGCCCTGCCCTCCCTGCCGGTTTGCGGCACGTCCCAGCTCCGTCCCCCACCGTGGCGGCCGGTGGGGACGAGGCTGCCACTGCCCCCATGCCTCCAGAGAGGCGAAACCGCTCCTGATGGGCGGGGGGGGGGGGGGAGAAAAAGA